TTTTCATTCTCTGCTCCTGGGCTGGTAATTCTTGTAAAGCCGGGCTGGGGAATTCTGGGAATTGTAGTCTCCGCCCATCTGGACAGCTGTCTTATCATGAGAAATCCTTGAAAAATCACCCAGCCAGGTTCACACCAAACTAAGTTGTGGGTGAACTGACCTTTGTGCTCCTGTGAGCTGGGCAAGGTGCCCCCCCCCCCCCGAGGGAGGCTCTGAGCCTCTTGTCCTGCGTCCCGCACAGGTGGCAGCTGTGATTAAGATCCAGGCCTTCGTTCGAGGCAACAAGGCCAGAGACGAGTACAGGATGCTGGGTGAGTGACCGGGTCTTTGCTTGGGGGGCGGGGGGGGCCCTGTGCTCCTCCTTCCCACACTTGGTGGGAATTGCTGCTCCCACTTCTGCCCACTTCAAGATGGGCATGTGAGCTGCAATGAAATGCCTGGCCCGGGGGGGGGGGTCCAGCTGGGCCTGGGTAGCTCCAGAGGATCTTCTGAGGGGCAGTTAGTTGTGGGTCAGTGCGGGGGAGAAAGGTTCTGGGGGGCTCCTGGGGGGCAGTGGGGCCGACGGCGGGTTCTGCGCTCTCTCCGCTGCCAGTGCACAGCAGGGACCCCCCTCTCAGGGTCATCCGGCGCTTCGCCCACCTGCTGGAGCAGAGCCAGCGCGACCACCAGGAGGAGGCGGAGCTGCTGGGGCTCCAGGAGAAGCTGGCCAGGGGGATCCGCTCCAACCAGCAGCTGGAGAGCGACCTCAACCTCATGGACATCAACATCGGATTGCTGGTCAAGAACAGGATCACCCTGCAGGTCAGGAGGGGGCAGAAGAAGAGATCTCTCTTTACAGCTGGGGGGGGAGGGGGCTCTGGGCATCCTCCGAGCGGACGGAAGCTGTTCGGCTTCTGCGCGGGAGTCCAGCGCATCCGTCAAGGCAGGGCAGGAATCCAGGGCCTTGGGGTGGGAACTGGCCTTTTTCCGGTCTTGGAGGAGAGTTGCTGCTTTATCGAATAAAAAAATCACGCAATAGCAATAAGTAAATATTTCGCAGGGATCAGCCTGAAGATGCAGACTTTAGCCCCCGAAGGAAGAGGAGACCAGCGCTTAACCCCCCTCCCAGGCCAGATTTTTCCTGACCGTGTGGCCCCTTTCAACTCCCAGAATCCCATGGCCAGCAGTGCCGAGTTCTGGGAGTTGAAGTCCGGAAAGGGCCGAATAATCTTGTCCTTGACCTTCCCGCCCAAAGGCAGAAGTGGCCCCCACTGAGCAGCTGAGCAAATGAGCCCCCTGGCCAGGTGGCCACTCAGCTTCCTTGGGTAGTGACGGAGACGTTCTGGCCAGCATCACCTCTGCCTGCCTCTTCCAAAGCTGCTTCTCAGCTTGTCTTCTCCTGCTCTGTGTGCGTGTGTGTGTGTGTGTTTGTGTGTTGTGCCTGTCGAAATGGAGCCTGGTGTGTCCTCCCTGCCGCACCCTCACCAAGCCCCCATTCTGGGACAGCCTGTTCCCGGCCTTATGGGTCTGACGCCTCCTGGGTGCAGGAGAGAGCTGGAGGTGTGGGGTGTTGTGCCATTGTGCGGCTTCTCCCCCTGGCAGGAGGTGGTGTCGCATTGCAAGAGGCTGACCAGGAAGAACAAGGAGGAGCTCTCCAGCAGGATGGAGGGGGGCAAGGAGAACGGGCTGAAGGGGCTCAGCCAGGAGAAGCGGAAGGCGCTGGAGGCCTATCAGCACCTCTTCTACCACCTGCAGGTGGGTGGAAACCTTGTGGAAAGGCTTTTGCCAGCTGCGGCTCCGCTGCACCCAACCAGGAGCTTCTCGCTCGGGGCCCCGACTGAGCAACCCCAGGGCACCTGCGCTTTGGGATGGGTGCGTGAGCATCGCCACAGTTGGGACCCCTCCCTTGTCCCCCCCTCCCCCCGGGCAGCATCTCTTTTTTAAAACATGGATTAGCAGAGCCACGAAAGAGAAAAGGAATAAAGAAAAGGCAGGTTGTACAGAATCCTCAAAAGTCATCTTGAGAGATTTAATCCTTGTTAAGAATTAAGTCCTACCGATTTCTCTGGGTAAATTATTCTTGATCAAATGACAACTGAGCTTGGACGAATGAACCACCGTCAGTTGGCGGTTTCTGCCCTGGGAATCTGCTCCTCTGCCCTGCCGGGGCTTCCGGGGGCTTCCACGGTCAGTAGCTGCCTGTAGCCAGGGTGGGTGGGTGGAGGTGGCGCCCAGTGAGGGAAAGCCGTTGGCGCCTAGATAGCGCTTTCCTGCTCTTTCCCTCCCTCCAGACTCAGCCGGTGTGCCTGGCCAGGCTCCTCATGCAGATGCCGCCCAACAAGTCCACCCGGTTCATGGAGTCGGTGGTCTTCAGCCTCTACAACTACGCCTCCAGCCCCCGGGAGGCCTACCTCCTGCTCCGGCTCTTCCGGCGCGCCCTGGAAGAGGAGATCGCGTGAGTCCTGCTGCTCCCCCACGAGAACAGCCAGGCTCCCTTGGGGGCTCTTGTCCGTTGAGGGCACCGAAGGGGATTTCACGGGACCTTTGGGGACAGGACAAAGATTGGCAGACCAGGCAGCCATTGGCCAGGCTGGTTTCCACCTCGCGCTCCCCCTTTTCCTGCAGAGCCTTTTACAGTCGCCTTCCTCGCTGTTTTGTAAAACAACCCTCACCAGTTCAACTTCCCTGGACAAAACAGTGAGGAAGACGATGGAGCTGCAAGCCTCAGGTAGGACGTGTGTCTCGCGGACCAACACCTCCCACCCCGCCCCAATGCTCGCAGAACCCAGGCTGCTTCCCTTCCCCGCCGTCTCTTTCGCGAGAGGGGTAGCAAATGGGGCGGGGGAGGAGAGGCGTGGGGTGGGGCTCCTCTTGCTGTCACTTCTCCCCCACCCACTCACCGGCCATGGCAGGCTTCCTCTGCAGCTTCCAAGCTGGGGCAGAGAGATGGTGCAGGGCGAACGGCTCACCCGGAGATGAATCAGGCGCTTCACGGGAGAAAGCACCCCATGCCAGCCCAGGCTTCCGAAACCTCTCGCTCCCCGGATCGGACTCAAACGCCGCCTCCAGCCCCCTCTTCCTCCTGGTGAAACTACATTTTGAAAGGATGATCTCCGGGTGGGGGGTGGGGGGGATTTCCTGCACATCGGCAGCGGCGTCTCCTCACAGGGCTTCTCACGACGTCCCAGGCGCCAAGCAACGTCCCGTAAAGGAAGGCATGGAAATCCATACAACAGGGATGTCGGAAGAAGCCCCGTGAGAAGACGCCGCTGCCGATGTGTGGGAAATCTCCCCCCCCCCCACTTCTGATAGCCTTGTGGGCCGGCCGGAGGGGTCTTTAATGAGCCTCGCTCTGTCTGTGTCCGCAGGCGGCAGCATCTTCTTCCTCCAATATTTCCAAGCAAAACGCCGTCAAGAGGGGGGAGTATCTCTTCCCCCTCCCTCGCCAAACTATGCGTGCAGGCATGACATTTCACAAAGCTCCTTAATCCGCGGCTGCTGGCTCCCTCGCTTTGTGCTTTTCATGCACATACCCCCATATCCTGCCCCCCCTGCCTGGGGATGCCATTTCCCCCTCCCAGGATTCCGTGTCCAAGGGAAGAAGAGCGCTGGGGCCGCACTGGACTCCCCCCCCCCCTCAGCCTCAACTTGGCTCCTGGAACCCTGCGGCCACTTCTCTCCTTGAGCCCAGCCAAAGGGGGGTTGGGGGCGGCTGAGGTCAAGTGAAGCTGATCGCTTCCTCTTTGCCTTCTCTCCGAAAAAGCCTCCTCGGGCGCAGTGCCCTTCGGG